ATTCGTACCAACTGTGCCTAGATTGAAGACATGCCCCTGGCATGAGTCAACTGCGAGGTTCTCCGCTGTATTTATAACAGCAGCGCGTTCCTGGGTTAACGTGTCCCTGCTGCGGCCCACAACATTGGGAGATCGGAAAAATCGGTGAAGTGAAGGAGTTATTGGGCAGGCCACTGGCACATATCACACAGATGAAGTGTGTGGCTCGGTGGCAACAAGTCAAGCCAAGCACTCAGTGAAACCATCTGCCGCGAGAAAATTTAAGATATATATTTTTTATCTAAATGCGTTTTTACTTTTTTTCACTCACGGTACAATCCAGTAGCAAGTCCTGCGTAACGACACATATCAATTTCTGACAAATCTGTCGCACTTTGACCTTTGACTTTTGCTCCCCCCCCCGCCACCACCACTCCAGAAAGAAAAAGTGAATGGCGTTGAGCCCTCGCTTACAACTCACTCATTCACGCTCTGAAATGTGCGGGGTATAGTTTGGATTTTCCGGGCCACGTGTTTTCTTAGAATATAAATGCTCTCAGCTGGCACCTGCTCGCAAGTGCGGGGGCTAAAGCTCGCACGTGAACGCCAAGGTGCATGCCCTCGAGCGGCGTTTCTGAGTAAACGTCTCGCACACAAGTCCACGGTGTGGCAACATCGCGCCGTGGTTTTTATCCGTGCGTCAAGAGCAACAGCGGTTGTGGTCGACACGAGAAGGACATGGGTAGGGACAATCAGGCCCAATAGCTCTCCCCACTGTCACCCCCCCCCCCCCTGCCTTTTCAACTTCAGTGTGATTGTGGCCACGTTGCTCAGTCATTCTTTGAATGGCAAACGTGTTGGAGGCAGCAAGATGCTGTCTTCTGCTTCCATATTAAATCCCCTGGAGTACTAAATGTCAGGTACGACATGGGTTTAATGTGAAGATCAATGAAGCAGATATTGCCATAAAGAGAAGGGAAGACATGTACACATACACATGGAACATAGATTGCTCATTTGTTGCAACTTTTCAAATTTAACGCTATGCCCCTTATGGAGATACAATTGTATTTTTTATATTTATATATAATTATTAGCCATACACGTCACTTAATCTAATGATGCACCTTACACTCATCGAAAAATGAATGTCAGAAAATAATAACTAAACAGACAAGGGTCTGTTTCACACGACAAAAAATTAATAATACAACCAAATAATATGTAGGCCCACCAGCCTTGCAAATCGTTCTTGCTTTTCCAGCAGCAAGTGTTTAAGCAGGCAAATTCAGGACCAGTATCGACTTCTTTGAGTCTCATCAGCAGTGTTGCCTGTTAAAAAAAAAACGCAGCCTGACGTTAGAGGTGAGAGGCCCTCCAAGACGGGCATATGGCCAGCGCACAAGAGACTGTGTGTGGCTCCTGGATGACCTAATGTGTATAGTCTGCGTGCACACTAAAACAGTCATCCAAATATAAGGCAAACACACATCACAAAAGCACATCTTACCAATTTCACAACCCCTACCACCCACCCCGCAACCCCACCCCCCACCTTTCCACCAACTAAACAAGCAGTATTAAATGCCCATAAGCAATTTCGGGGACTCAAATAATGTTTTGTGTGTCCGTGCGGTTGAGAGCACGTGCGCACACTCCTCTCGCGAAACCGCACACGGCCACATGCAGACGAGAGGGCGGTGGGCGAGTAGGAGGAGGGGGGGGGCGAGTGGGCAACAGAGGGGAATAAAGAGGAGCGAAGAGGAGGGAAACCACGGGGGAGGACTTGTGGCCCGCAGACGGCTGCCAAGCCAAGTCAGGCATACATGTGGCCAACCCAGGAACGTGGCGACGATTAGAAATATCTGCGCAATGTCTGAATATTTAAGTGCCGAAGCCGCAACCAGGTGTACAACCTCAGCGCCGGAGTTTCTCGCCCCGCCCCCAGGCCTCGGCTACAAGCACGTCTCCTCTGCCCCATTGCCACCCCCTCCGTTCCGTTAACCGTCCCTTCGGGGCAAATTCTTCCTTAATCGACTCCTGCTGGTCAAGCTAAGCCAGCCCTATGTGCATCATGGTCCATCGACCCTAAGTAAGAAATTAAAATTAAAACGGGAATTAAAAAAAAATCTAATCATCCAGCACTATGGGATGCCACGACTGCCCGGTGGTCAAAGCGGGCCCCATGAGTGGTGTCGGATCATGACAGAAGCAAGATAGCATTTATCATCTCGGCAAATCCAGGATTAAGAATGTTTAAGCATTTCTGAGATCTCTCACAAACGTTTTTTTTTTTTTTACCACGCGGTGGGCATTTTAATTCGTCCACAATTAAACGCACTCCTCTCTCGATTCGTGCACTCTCAGCTGAAGGGCTGAGAGTGCATGGAGGAGGAGGAGGAGGAAGAGTCTCCGGCTCCTCGCCCGTGTCCGCGAGCAGTCGTGAGCGGGGAGGGGCAAACGCGTGCGGCGAGCTCGCCGTGTTGAGCGCCCCCTTGCCTGTGGCAATGCCTCGAGTCAGCCCAGCAGGGGGGGGCCCAGCCAAGCACACGGGGGGGGGGGGGGAGTGGGGGGTGCTCGTTTCCAGCTGCCATGAACGCATCGCATGGGGTTCGAAGAACCAAGGCACACACAGAGAGCAAAATTGGGAGAGAGTGGCCCATATGTTCCACCAATTATGGAAATAATTTTGCTCTAGGGCTACCGCTTGCCGCTGTGCCAGTGACAGAGGAATAAGGCCCAAGCTGTTGCAAAAATGAAAGATGTGGCGAAAGGTGAGCGGCATGGAGCTCCTGCCGACTTACGCTTGATATTACCCAGACGCCCCGTGGAGAAAATCAGCACCCAATTCCTCAACCCTGTACCTACTACATCACATAATTGGTGAATAATTGCAGTCTACGACATGCCCGATGTGATAAAGAAAGTAAAAAATATACATGGAGACAGGAGAGCACTGTTATTAATTAACATACCTCCCCGATCCCTGTGATGTGTCTTGAGCCAGAAAAGTAAATCCTTGACATTTGCAAAACAAAGCCTCTACAAATCCCCCTCTCGCTTCTCTCATCCATTCCTTGTATGCCTTGTGGGCAGAGGAGTCATCGTAATGCCTTCTCTTTTTTGCCATAGAGCCAATAGTAACTTTATCAGCTCTTCACCAGCAGCTCGGCTCAGGAGAAGGCCTATCTGCGTCGGCTTGGCCAGGAATATCGTTGCACTTTGCTCGTGCCCCTATCTGCCAAATTGCCTCCTGCCAGGCAGTGATACAAGTCCGGGACTCCCGAGGGACCGTCCTCTTGACACACAGTGGCACCAGCAGTTTCGCTGCCACTCACACTGAACAGCCGCAGAACGAGACGCTCCCCAAGGAGAACAACAACCTTGGCAACAGGACAAACAAAAAACGGGGATGGATGAATGTACCTACTGCAAGTCGGAACAGAGAGGGACCCACAAAATGGTTAGCTTTGAAAATGACCATAAGTGGAAATCAATTACTTAATTGTAGAAGATAGTTTTGACTCATCATAATCAGCCATAGTCTATCCACTGCTGGATGAAGGCCTCTGCAAACCTTCACCACCCCCCCCCCCCACTGTATAGCGATGACATTCCACGAGCACACGTGAGATGATCGTCTCTGCGGTGGTCATCCTCTCGGCCCAGCCTCGTCCATCGGCCGTCATGCTTTCTCGCGATGCGTCCTGCCCAATCCCACTTTTACTTTTCCCAACAGCCAATAACGATGCCCCTCATTTGAATTTGTTCCCTGCTCCACGTGCTCCTCTCTCTGAATCTCAGTGTAAATCCATGCGTGCACATCGCCATGCTATCTACACCGCGCATATTTCAGCTTTATTTAAATGTTTAATCGTCAGTGTCCATGTTTCCGATCCATGTCAGAGCAGTTACTGTGCACTGATTGAAAACGTTTTTCTGCAGTCACATTGGTGTGTGCTGTCTTTCATTATCACTTTCAGTGCTGCAAGAGCACTCCATTGCTGCTTTCACGCACCACTGTTCCATCATGCCATCCCAATCCATGAATGCCCTGTTCCGTTTTCCAGTGCAGCCCCTCCAACAATGTTTTTTGGTTCAGTAAACATGTAATTAATGGCTTTTTTTAATTTATCTTGAGCCCAAACCAGGCGGTTAGTCTTTTTAAGTGCTTTGTTAAGCCAGTATTTACTAAATATGAAGTAAAAATGTATACAATCATTGTCAAAGGTGGCTGTCCTCTGGATATACTTACCCCCACCGTGAAAATGTGGAATTTCCACGAATGGCTCAGGGATAGAAACAGTAGATGTGTAATACCCCTCTGTTCATTTGACCTGGAAACCACTTTATCTCTGGGGCTTTTTGTCACGGAAGATTGTAACAATCGCCACATACTTAGTCATCTTCAAGGAATGCCCCCAACGGAAATGTAATTATCGCTTTACACGCAAAATTATTCCATCAGATCTCGCAATCAACAATTGTTGCGGAGAATTGCATGTCATCTCACGACAAAGATGTGTGGTGTGGGTGCGAAGCATAAAAATAGGACGGTATTCATAGTGAACATCACAGACGCCCTCTTCAACGCATTGGTATCAACTACTCATTGAGATGACAGCGCTGCATCATGGGAAGTGAATGGATAACATCAACTTGGAGTAGCAGAGGAAGGCCCATTGGGATGTGAAGGGCATCAGAGTGGGTATGACAGTAGCTATGGGATACTGCTGATTTTCAGTCCTGTGGTGTGCTGCTCTCCCATGTGATATCGGGCTGTACCACGTGTGATTTTGATTTCAGGTCGTACCACGTGTGATTTTGGGTCGTACCACGTGCTGTTCGGCACAATGTCCGATACTGCACCCAACGTGCCGGGAGCCTCTTCAGGAACTCCACGTGGAGCAAAGCGTCGGACATCGCACGGCACATTGCGTGGTGCGACCCGAAACCGCACCAGGGAGTGACGGTGCGAGGAGTCCGTCGGACACGGACCGGCGATGCAGTGGCCCCGTTACCTTTCGAACTGGTCCCTGAGAGCACGGAGCTGGGTTCGGCACTGCGTGAGCTCGCGCGTCACTTCCTGCAGACGCTTCTCGCTCTCCAGCCGCAAGCGTCGCTCGCTCTCCAGGTCGCACATCAGGCGCTCACGCTGGACAGGGAGAAGGAACGGAAGAGGGGGGAGCGAGACGGAAAGAGGGAGGCGGAGGAGGGATTGGCACAGTGAGGGCGGCACAGACGGGGACAGGCACGCAGAAAGGCATTGCGATTAGACCCATGTCAAAGTTTTATTATGTCTGATAATGACCACCACCGTATACATAAATAAAACACACTATGCGTCATTATGAAGGCCAGTGCATAACACAAATGACGTGACTAAAAAAAACCATCTCCCTGCATTAAAAAAATTCGACCGCCATCATACTGCCATTCGAGGCAAATGTTTCACAGCAACATTTTTTCAATCGGGCAAACTCTGGCTGGTTTCAACATGCCTGCTAAAGAAATGCTACCGAATCGTTCGATGTTATTGGCAGGAACACTCCATGCAAGCTATGGACTATAAGATATTTGTACAAGTACTTACACATGGGCGGCATTTGAAAGGCCACATAGTATTGTTATTTAACACAGCCACCACGTACATGGCAAGGTTCCTTGATTCCTGCACAACCCAGGTTCGCAAGAAATTAGCCTGACCAGTAATTGTATTGACCAGCAGCAGGATATTAATCAGGCACACGGGTAAATGAGCCGTTTTTCTTTTACATCGTAAATATCCACAGGATAAATTCAACTTTTGTTGCGCATCTCATTTAAACACCAGCGGCCGCGTACTGAACAATAACGTCTAGAAGTACACGGAGGCATCGGCTGAGTCACCATCCGCACAGCGACACACACAGCCACACAGTCGTTGAGAGTCATGAGCCACAATAAAGCATGGTCCCCTCCCACTACTATTCAACTTCTGACATCTCATCAGGTTTTGGCTATGAGACGCTAAAGCTGGCTTCGAATGGCCGCAACCCGTCGTGGGTACCAGAAGTCATATTGGAAGTAAGTTAAGCAGCCATAAGGCGTTATTAAAAACAATGGGTAAAATAGAGGAATAAATAATGAAAAGTTGTCTTGACAAATATTCAGCATTTGGTGGCGCAACGCTATGAGCTCTAAAAACAAAGGATGAACCTGGCAGTGACTTGTGTGGCGTGTGGGCTAAACACGTGAGGCTAAACACGGGAGTGCAGAGCATATACATCACGCCACTCGATGTGCAGAAGCCAAGTCAAGCCAGGGCCGTGCCAAACGAGCAGCTGCAAGCACCACGCACGCCATGACTGGCTCATTTGTGTTTACTGTCAGGCTGTGTTTGCGCCAGTCCCAAACAGGCAGGGCCTGCTGTGCGGTAATGAGCTGACGGCAAGAAGAAAAAAATAATAACACGCACGTGGAACTCACGTTGCAATTGAGTGCATTCTCGTAAAGTTTACATTTTTTCCCCTGTTTTTTTTCCTTCTGTGGCCATGCCCAAAATGATCACGGCATCGAGCTGCTGCAAAACATGGCCCTGACTGCGGAGATCTAATGATACTAAATTGTCAACTTTCTGCTCCACGGCAACATCATGAGCAAGGTTTATTTTTGAGAGGCCATGGGATGGCCCCTGCAGATCAATGGAATAGAGAAGAGGTCAATCTGGCACAAGATGCCACCAAAAACCATTGCAAGATATCCCAGGACAATGTTTTAATAGAAGATGCAAGAAGATGTGAAAAGTTATTTGGATCTGTCTGTGGGTGGAATAATCTCACAATGGGGATGCATTATCCTTGTTGGCCAAGGGAAAGACAACAACACAGTTACTGCCCATGATTGACATGGGAAGCCATTATTACAGCAGTCTCCATGTGAGAATCTCAAACATATCCAGAAGCTCCGCTTTGCTGAGATAAAACAAAAGCAAAACGGCCATAAAGTGGTCACAGAATTAGTGAATCGAGGGAAATAAATCTGACAAAACAATGAAAATTAATTGGAACGCCACAGATGTATTCCCTCACTAACTTCAAATCGACAAAGGCAGCAAAAAAATGGGTGATACAGATAGTTAAACATGAAAACGTAAATCTTGACACAAAATGTTGCTATTCTGCTGATGGCAAAAACGCAAACCATAACCGCGTCAATTGTTCCTTTGCTGCTCATTGATACGAACCCCACAGAAAACGCGTGGATCGCCATGAGCCCCAAAAATGACAAAGCAAGTCCAGAGGGAGCAACACATCAATCGTCTTTTTCGATGTTATACCACAGTCTAACACTGACAATGCAACTACGTGTTGTATCTCGGTATGAATGTGTTGAACTTCTTTCGCGCCGTACATAGCCAACCGTGCTAATCAGAGGAGACCATGTACGTCCCTGCAATTCGCAATGTTCACATGGCATACAACGTCCACTGAAGTGCCACCGTAAAGGCTGATGTTTCAGGCAATTTCCCTTCTTCAGACGATAAAGAAACCGGGTGGTAAGATTGACTCACTTTACAGCTGGAGGTCATAGTTTACATCGGAGGAGCTTGAGTGTAAAACAATCTCCAACTTCAATCTCTCTGCCCTTTTCCACTCTACTCTGAAAAAAGCAACATTGGCTGAAATGTCAACCAACTATAGATGTTGTTCTGTTGTCAGGCGGCGTTCATGATTTTACATGGTGAGGTTTTAGTTTCTCCCTCTGCGTATGCAACACTGCCAAGTTAGTCCCTTATTTCTTTTCTCGCATCACCTTATTGACATTATTACGAATGATGGATGATGTCACCGACAGTTACCACTGCTAAACTTGAGAGAGCACTGATCCTACATGAGCTCAGCGGCTGTAATTTACCTGGCTGAGCATTCCTCGCCACATGTTATTTCAGGCAGATATCAAGTGCTATGTTAATCAGATTAAAAAAAAACATTTTTAACCCGATAGCGTGGGCCCAAGGACACTTGATAATTCTAATCCCTACAAATGTGGAGCAACATAAATGTAATCTTAACCGCTGAAAATGGGTCAATTGAACACAATGAAGATCGCTTAAGGAAAACACATCACTGTGCGTTAGGTTAAACACATCACTAAGCTACTGGGAATCAACACTCACTATGAATTCCAGACTTTGCCTAACAACAATTTACAAATAATCAGCAGATGAACACAAAATATCAACACTTTAATAGCTGCAGGTGCGGGGCAACAATCATAAATGTCCACCTACCATACTGGTACTTCACTTTTGAGTAATGGATCTGATTTGCACAGCACCTGCAAGGCTGATTTAATAAAGAGTGCCAGTGGCCGGGTTAAGTAGCGCCACACACGGGGCTAGGAGCTTTGCGCGAGAGACGCAGCCTCCCGTCCAGCGCGTCTGGCCGAGGGATGTCCCAACAGCACGACCAGGAGTTTGCCTCTCTTGACACACTCCCCGGCTTCCCACAGCCTCGCCTGCCCACGACCGACCAGCGGGGCATGAGGGGGCATGCCCTTCTTAGTACATGGCTGGTTGTCTTTTAATTGCGGTGGAATGTTAATCTCTCGCTCAACAGCAGCTCAACATCCCGTGTGTGTGTGTATAGATGTGTAGGCGTGTGTGTGTGTGCGTAGGGGGGAGCTGTAGTGTAGCGGTTAGCGTGCTGCGTTACGAATCCGACGATCCCGGTTCGATTCTCGACAGCGCCAGTGACGATTATCTGAACCGGGGTTGGGCCTCCCCTCGGTCGACTCAGCCTCAAATGAGTACCTGGTGTGTAAACATCGTCACTGGGGAGACAAAGGTTGCTGGGCGTGGTGCTAGCCACCCACAACATCGTGAGCCGTGTTCGCCTTCATTGGTGTTCGCTAACAGAACTTGCCCCAACAGTCTGTTAAGGCTATACCGGGGATCTTTGTCTTTGATTTGTGTGGGGAGCACCGGGAATTTGGCCAGCCCACGATACTTCCATTCCATCAGTCCCAGCTCCATCCCTGCCACGGGTCGACTTGGTCTCAAATGAGTACCTGCTGTGGTGGCGTACGATTATCTATTGTAGAGGTGGCCGGGCAGTGCATATTACACCAGAAGCGCATACTCCGGCTACCGTGCCGTGCTTAATGAGTATTCTATAACAGCACTGCCGCTTAAATCCAATTGTGCAAAACGCGGTGTCTTTGTGTAACTCCTTGCACCTTGAAAAAAAAACCCGCTGAAAATACAGGCAAAACTATGATATATTATTTTTATTAACTTTATTTTCATTATTATTTTATTGTTCTATCTACGTGACTTTACCGAAAGACACAGAGAATATGATATATATTCAGCCGTATGGTAAAATGGTTAAAGTTGCATTTTAACTCTATGCTGCCTGCACTTGGTATATTGGGCTAAAGTGGTTGTCCACTTTTAATCGGTGTGACGTGTCTCAGTCCTTAAAAGTACAAAACAAACAAAAATAACTGAAGTTGTGACCAACAACTTTGTCAACAGTGGCAGTAAGCAGAGCAGCAGTCCCGCATCATTGTCTTTATTTGTTCAGTGCCTTCAACAAACTTCGTCTCATTAACGGCAGCTGTTTTTAATTTGCTCTCCCCGCAAGTGAGTTTGGCAGACGGTAGTAATTTAAAATTTTACTTTTTTTTATAGAGCTGACACGTGGAAAACAATTTTTTTTTCAACTCCACCATTCCAAGTCACCCCCTCCACGCTCCCATATGCACAGAAATGCACACAAAGCGGCCGGAGTTTGGCAAAGCGGCAGCCACCGGGTACCGTGTGTCCGAAGCACGTGGGCACACGTGCATGGCTTACTACATTAAAACATCGATTTAAAGCTTTCGTGACTGCAAGGATTCATCTTCTTTGGTTCTTTCGGTAAAGTCACGTAGAATGAGAATAAAATAATAAATTAATAAAATAAAATAACACAATAAAATTATCACGACGTTTCGGCCACAACACAAGTGTCCTTCTTCAGGTGAAAGGAACAGACCTGTCGGGACGACAGAGCTTCAATGAACGTTGTTAAGATTTGTAGCGTCTTTTAAGCTGGTTTTGAGAAGTGAGGCATCTTGTCAAAGGGGTTTACATATCAAATAGGAGAATTTAGCATTGAAATAGCTAAG